TTTTGCAGTGAAAGGAATGTGAATGTCAAAACTATGATTTGATGTTGCCTTAAATAATGCATCTTAGTAGTCTTGGAAATCAGTCAAATAATTTACTTAATTAAATTTAAAATAATTTTTTGCAATATAGATAGTGATTTTAATCCTCTGCCTGAAGTTTGTATGAATTTGGACAAGTTACTTAATTTCTTTAGCATTCAGCTTCCCTATTTGTAAAATGGGCATGAAAGTGTCTTCTTATATAAGGATTAAATGAGAACGTGTAAGCGAAGTACTTAGCTGGATTAGGCCTTCACTCTTCCTCCTTTCAGGACCTTGAAGATCAAGTGTACAATCACAGCCTGGCTTCTCTTGTATCTGGGGTGACTCTCTTGTGTCTCTAGGCTTACTGGAGTAAATTATTTGTTAGACTTCTTCCAGTCCTGATTTAGATTTCTCAGGGTTTGACTAGAACTTTTCTAGCCTTGTGGAATTAGCTTACCATGACGAATCTATCCGTCTTCTGTTGCTACTTTTTAGCTGCTCTTCTATAAATGTACTGAAATCTTCATAGATTTTAGGGTTTTGTGGGCAGGGAATTAGTATGTATTTTAGGTGTGACTGACAAAGCTTTTATTCTGTAAATTGTCACTAGGATAACCTCTGCTACTTTTCTTTTGCAGTTTGGACTTGTGGATGTATTTTTTTGTAGGTCTGTGTGGTTCAGATCCTGCCACTTAAAGCTGTGGGTACAGGGGTAAGTCTACTAAAAGAGAAATGTTTGGGGGATATCTTATGAATAAGCAATTCTGATTTTGACTTGCTTCTTTTCGTCAACAATGTCTTTGAGTGTTTTCTGTGAGTACTTATGAATGTTATCATAGAAGAATAAGTCTTAGATCCTGCACTTGCTGTTCATATCTTCTTGGTGAGAGGAAATCTTATGTGTGAAACCACAGTAAATAATATAAGTTCATATGTAGTTAAGTGTCGTATTATTGAAGAGCAGTTTGCAGGAGAGGAGGGAGGTTCAGTGAGGGCACATCCTTGAGGAATGTGTTTCATTCAGGTGGTAAGAACATAAGTATTGAGGAACAGCGTTAATGAAGATACAGCAACGGGAATTAGTCTTTTAGGAGTGCTTTGGATTGAAGGGGATTTCTTTGGGGGGTGGGGGAAGGATGGAACAGGAAATACAGTTACATTTGATAAAACGAGACCAGATTATTCAGCCCTTAGAAGTAAAGCAGGTTAAAATTTAAAGGATAGTACATACTAACTTCTGGATTCTCACTCTGTTTCCTTTCTTCTTGAAGCTGTAAATTGATAATTTACAAATGAAGATTGAAAGAAAAATCCAAACTGTTTAGAACCAGTCTTCTTTTAAAAAAGGGAAAGTGACGTTTAGTTATATATATATATATATTAGATAATCTTCCCAACAGGAAGACTGAAAATAACGTTGATAGGAAAGCAGCATTAATAAGCTTCAGGTTTACTTTTTCTTCTCTGTCCCTAGTACTTGGTCTTAGCTAATTTTGTAGCAGAAGGTTTTCAATTCAAAGCTTTCCTCTGTCATTAAGAAAGCAAAAAGTTGTAGAGTGAGAACCCATCTGCAGAAAGATTTTTAAAGAAGTAGTTTTGAAGATTTGAACTTCAGGGAACTAGCAGTCCTGTTGAAGCCTGTGCTGCACTTGTTAAGGAGGGTGGGCAGCTGTGCATTGGCTGCAGTGATGGTGTCAGCACGCAGAGCCCCCTCATCTGCTTCAGTTCAGTGTGGCCCAACAGACGCAGGCATAGGAGTGGGCAGGGTTACTGACGTTTACTACTTCTGTCTCTGAGCAAAACGCAAAATTATAGACGACGGTGGGTTTTCCTTCTCTCAGCTGTAGGACTGTTGATACAGTTTGGCCACCCTTGACTTAACAACAGCTGGGCCTGTGACCCATGTCTTACTTGTGTGACACTGTAAATTATATGATCTCCTTAATGGCAACCAAAATCTGTATTTGTAACTGCTTAATTACTATAACTAAATAGATTAGAAATACTGACAAGACTTTTAAGCCCCAGATTAATGGTAACTTAGCTGACTCAGTGCCCTAGACATGTGTTCTGTAATCCTGGTGTGCCTGCAGTTCCTTTGGAGGAAGTCTGCTTTTTCCGTAGTACATTGCAGAGAAATAGATCTCAATAGCTATGTTTTTAACCATGTGTAACTATATTACAACTGATTGATCCAGGAGTGGGCATTTGACCTGAGGGTTGCCAGCCAGTCTGTAAATCAGCTAGCAACCTAGGATTGTCTGGGGCAGAGGGAGGGACTTACAGCTCTTTACAGAAAATGTGGAGTTAATTTGCCATTGAGCTATGGGAGCTGACACTGGAAGGATGCATTAGTGTGCTATCCTGTAAAACTAAAGTTTAGGAGACTGGAAAGTAAGTATAAGCAGAAGCTGTGAGTTACAGAAATGATAAAGGACTAGAGGGGTCCAGTTGGTAACCAGAAAAGAATAGGGCATCTGTGTCGAGAGAAGCACCAAATAGTAAGCAAGAAACCACGTGGTGAGAGAGAGACAGGCATAGAGCATGAGATTGGAGCTTCTGCTTTCTGGCTCTGTGGATGCTCTTCTTCCATTAATATTTCTGTGGCTCCTGTCCTTCTTGAGACCACATCCAGTTTTTTCCCAGGAAAGAGTGCAGGCTTTGGTGTCAGACTTTTGGCAGTAGAATTCTGGTTCTGTCTTTTACTAGCTTTGTAACCTTGGGCAGGTTGTTTTAACTGCTCTGTCTCTTTTCTCATCTGTAAAAAAAATAAGCATCATAAATAATACCTTTCCTCATGGGGTTGATGTGAGGATTAAATGAGATGACACATACAAACCTTTAAAACAGTACTAATCACATAACAAATGTTCAATAAGTAGCATCATATATAAAATGCTCTTTGGGGGTAATTGGAATGAATTTCTTGCAACTGAAAGAGCTTAAGGAGTTCGTTTGCTTACAGATTCATTTAGAGTAGTGCAACCCAGTGTATATGCTGGCTAAGCAAGTTGTTTTCAGTCGTGTATTAAGAGATACTGTCTTATTCATAGTGAATAATAGGACTTACTGTATTTACAGGCATACCTTGTTATATTGTACTTTGCTTTATTGCACTTTACAGATACTTTTTTTTTTTTTAACAAACTGCAGGTTTGGGGGCAACCCTGCATTGAGCAAGACTGTTGGTGCCATTTTTCCAATAGCATTCGCTCACCTCGTGTCTCTGATGTCGCACTCCAGTAGTAATTCTCACGATATTTCAAGCTTTTTCATTAAAATATTTGTTACCGTGATCTGTCAGTAGTGATCTTTGATGTTACTATTGTAATTGTTTTGGAGCGCCATGCACCTTATCAGTATACAACTGAACTTAATAAATGTGTGTGTTCTGACTGCTCCACCAACTGGCTGATCCCCCCCACCCCCTCCTAGGGCCTCCCTATTCCGAGACAGGGTATTGAAATTAGGCCAATTAATAACCCTACAGTGGTTTCATAAGTGTTTAAGGGAAAGGGAGAGTTGCACATCTCTCACTCTAAATCAGAAGGTGGAAATGATTAAGCTTAGTGTGGAAGGCTTGTTGAAAGTCAAGGTAGGCTGAAAGTTAGGCCTCTTGCACCAAACAGTTAGCCAAGTTGTAAATGCTAAAAAAAAGTTCCTGAGTGAAATTAAGTGCTACTCCAGTGAACACATGAATGATAAGAAAGCAAAACAGCCTTATTGCTGGTAATGGAGAAAGTTCTAGTGTCTTGGACAGAAGATCAAACCAGCTATAGTATTCTCTCCAGCCAAAGCCTGATCCAGGACAAGGCCCTAACTGTTCAATTCTATGAAGACTGACAGGGGTGAGGAAGCTGCAGAAGAAAAGTTTGAAGCTAGGAGGTTAGTTCATGAGGTTTAAGGAAAGAAGCCATCTCCATATCATAAGAGTGCAAAGTGAAGCAGCAGGTACTTATGGAAAAGTTGCAGCGAGTTATCCAGAAGATCTGGCTAAGATCATGAATGAAGGTGGCTACGTTAAACAACAGATTCTCAGTGTAGAGAAAATAGCCTTTTATTGGAAGAAAATGCCATCTAGGACTTTCACAGCCAGAGAGGAGAAGTGAGTGCCTGCCTTCAAAGCTATGAAGGACAGGCTGACTCCCTTGTTTGGGCTAATGTATCTGGTGACTTTAAGTTGAAGCCAGTGCTCGTTTAGCATTCCAGAAATCCTAAGAATTAAGCTAAGTCCATTCTGCCTGTGTTCTACAAATGTAAAAGCAAAGCTTGGAAGATGGCACATCTGTCTACAACATGTTTTACTGAATATTTTAAGTCCACTGTTGAGACCTACTGCTCAGGGAAAATAAGATTCCTTTCAAAGTAATACCGCTCATTGGCAGTACACCTGGTTACTCAACAGCACTGGTGGAGATGTACAAAGAGATTAATGTTGTTTCATGCCTGCTAACACAACATCCATTCTGTAGCCCATGGATCAAGGAGTAATTCTGACTTTCAAGTCTTATTATTTAAAAAAGACATTTTGTGAGGCTATAGTTGCCACAGATAGTGATTCCTCTGATGGATTTGGGCAAAGTAAATTGAAAATCTTCTGGAAAGGATTCACCATGCTTGATGCCATTCAGAACATCTATGATTCATGGGAGGAGGTCAAAATATCAATGAACAAGAGTTTGGAAGAAGTTGATTCCAACCCTCATGGATGACTTTGAGGGGTTCAGGACTTCAGTGGAGGAAGTGACTGCAGCTGTGGTGGAAGTAGCAAGAGAACTCGAATTAGAAGTGGAGCCTAAAGATGTGACTGAATTGCTGCAATCTCAGAATAAAACTTGAACAGTTGAGGAGTTGCTTCTTATAGATGAGCAAAGAGTGTTTTCGTGATATGGAATTTATTCCTGGTGAAGATGCTGTGACAATTGTTGAAATGACAACAAAGCATTTAGTTGATAAAGCAGTGTTTGAGAGGGTTGACTCCAATTTTTGAAAGAAATTCTGTGGATAAAATGCTGTCAATCAGCATTGCATGTTATAGGGAAATCATTTGTAAAAGGAAGAGTCAATCGATGTGGCAAGCTTCATAATCATCTAATTTTAAGAAATTGCCACAGCCCCCCCAGCCACCACCCTTGTTAGTCAGGAGCCATCAGCATTGAGACAAGACCCTCCACCAGCAGAAAAGATTATGACGTGCCGAAGGCTCAGATGGTGGTTAGCATGATTTAGAAATAAAGTATTTTTAAATTAAGGTATATGCATTTTTAGGAATAATGCTATTATACACTTAATAGATCACAGTTTAGTGTAATCATTTATATGCACTGGAAAACCAGAATTGGTGTGACTTGCTTTATTGCAATATTTGTTTATTGCAGTGGTCTGGAACTGAACCCACAATATCTTCAAGGTAGCCTCTGTATTTGAAGCATTTAATAGTTGCTTGGTGCTGTTCTAAGCATTTTACCTGTATTAACTCATTGAATCATTATAATAATCTGGTGAAGTAGGTACTGTTGTTACCTTCATTTTAGAGAGGTAAAAACTGAGAAACAGGAAGGCTAACCATCTTGCTTTATGTTATACAATATGTAAGTGGCAGAGCTAGGATTTGAACCCAGGTGGTATAGTTGTAATTTTAAATTTTAAACATCTATTTCCTCCTCAGTTTTTATTTATCTCTTTAAATGAAGCCAAGGAGAAGGTCTCAGT